GTTGACATATCGAGGTTGATATCTCCCGGAAAATTATTAAAGCACTCTGCGGAATAGCAAACGAAAACGTGTGAAGACCGCAAAAAGTGGAATTTTTAGATGAAATTTGCCGAAAATCTTCGAAACAACTGCGCAAATGCAAACGTATCGATTGCGCGCGCGATAAAACAAGCTACCTAGTTGGACGTACTTACAGCGTTTATGCTGCATTTTACAATCGGCCGGCAAAGAACGACGCGATACTACGACACTCGCCCTGATCGATTTAACGCCAAATGTCGCCGTGTTTTACACGCGGCAATAATGGTCGAAATCTATGTAGCCAATATTTCAAGCCACCCTTTCTCGCCTGCGCCCGCGTCCCCACACACATAGGAAAGCGTTCGTATACCGGCGACACGTAGCCCTGGTTATTGGTCCGCATATGGACACCGCTCGATATTTCATATTCTACAGCGAAATGAAAGTATAAGCGCAATCACAGCCGGCGTGTCGCGAAAAACGCGATTGATGCTCAAACGGCGGACGCGGGTGCACTTCAGTCGCTTGACACGAGGAAAATTACGGGAGTGAAGCGCGGCTTTTCAGTTTCCTCCATCTTTTTTTTAAAGAGATGCTAGCTGAAAAACTGTTCGAGTAGAAATAACGGCGAATGAAAACAAAAGTGTCCGGGGCATACGTTTCGAGCGGTGTACGAAGACGCGAAATAATTCTGTAGGGACGAATCGAATAAATGGAATTTAAATACTTCGGAGGAAAGAGGGAGATTCGAAGCGAAAGAGTGATGGTCCCGAGGGAGGGATACGTACGATTCCTACCGTCCGACAAGGAAGAATTCTTCCGTGACCGACGAGCGTAATTTACGCGGGAACAAGGTGCGTCTTGTAGGGTGCGTTCATCTTCCAATGGGTCCATGCTGCTCTATATGTAAGAAATATCCAATGTTACATAGATATTAATGTTTAATGCAAACGTATCGATTGCGCGCGCGATAAAACAAGCTACAATTTAATTTAATTATAAAATCCGTGCTTCAATGTCCGTGCAACAATGCTTCAATTTAATTTAATTATAAAATCCGTGCTTTGGCTTCTAAAGATCCATAAGTTCTGTCTTCCTTTTCTTGGAATAATTTATATTGAAACATATTATTCGCAGGATAAAAGATCGGCGTGGTAAATGGCTATTATATAGTATCCTACTATGGATACGTTGAAAGTCTGGACAACAAGTCCGGCACGTAAATTACACTGTCAAACAATTTTATCCTTCCGTTATATTTAAATTATTGCACCCAAGCGACGGCTCTATCTATTTTTACGGCTTTGTATCTTCGGAGCTTTCACAATATATTCTTTTTGTGTGAATAATGATTTGACTGTTATCAATGAATACACTGTCGATCTGATAAATCAAACAAATGATTTGATATCCATCAATATCGATATCTATCCACTATTGATGATCTATCGATAGTCGCAAGTATATTTAAGAAAGGCTATCGTTTTTCTCCTTCTTTATGAAGGGGTAGCGAACGGACACGTCGTTGTAACACATGTGTCCTCGCTAGAAAAAGAGAGAGAGAGAGAGAGAGAGAGTCGACGAGCCCGTAATATTTTAGGGTGACTCCTCGGCCTTTAAAAAGTAGCCAGTGCATATGTCGGCGTAAGCGACATAATGTTATCAAGCTGTCCAGAAGGACGCGCCGCCGACGTCGTCGCTGCCACGCAAGGACGGGGTTCTCGGGGGACCACGTCCTCGCTCTCGCCCACTTCGTCCTTATTGATATACCGAATAAACACACTTGGCAGCTAGGCCAGGGCGGCTTTGCGAGGCAAATAGCTTCGGAAGAGAACCCTACGTCCGGCGAGATATCTTCCCTTCCTTAAAGTCGACATCGCGCTCAACGTCGATAACGGTGTTTAGACAAGAGTCAGATATATCCTCGAATTTGACGAAAGGAAAAACAAATTCGTCGGGTTGTCTCTGGAAATTCTTTTCCTACTAAACCACGAACGATAGTAATGGCATTTCTACTGTTGGTCTTTACGTTGCAAATAAGCGACACATACGCGCAAATGTGCGGTGAAATACGAATCATCTATACCGGGTTGTTGAAACGTAAGGACGAAGAATGTGTGCCCGGCGAAACCGCCTCTGGCTTCATTTCTGGCAGAGAAATCGCTCCTTTCTTAAGGTACCGTACGTTGTAATGAGATTGCTTCATTAGGCTTGACTTCGTACCGCGGCAAAAAGAGATTTTACCATCCCGAGTCTGAGGAAGTAATCAATAAGTTTTAACATCGCGAACCCCATCGGCATTCCTCTCTGTTCTTAACGACTTTCGTAGGCGCGGATGATCTTAAATTATTTTTTGCCGCAGCACAGTATTTTTGTACCTGCGGATCAATCTTTCCGCGATTACTTTCGAGTGTAATTCGGACATCAGAAGGCGCATTTTTCCTAATGTATAATTGCATATTTTTTATTAGTCCTCATCAACGTGAACTTTTCTTATTTCGCGTCTTCATATCCGTTTCGGCAGAGAAATAAGCTTCAGCGTAACCTTCGACTGTCGTTGCGGCACAACGGATTTTTATTAACTCACTGCCAACCGATCAGATAGATCTGCACTGAAAAATGAGAGAAAAAAATCAAGAAAAAAATATCTTTCGTTGAAGATAACTATTATTTAAAATAAGAAAAATAAATTGAATAATTGCTGTATTTATCGATAAAATGACATTTTTTTCCCGTGTGGTAAAACGCAACTCGCACGATTGGTTATACGTTAAGATTCAAGATCGCGCGATCGCAGCGTTCATTTAGTCTTGTTGAGTAATTTTAAGATGATCCGAGGGACAGACACTCGTGTTCTTTCACGCTGTAAAACCACCTTGCGAAGCCCGACACACCGATGAAGAGTCATTTACCTTCCAAAATCGCCTCTGGAATTTCATTCAGTCTCCGGTTTCACCCTCGTGGCTTTTAAGTTTCGACCCTTATCGACCGCCACGGACTTAGCGCACCTCGCCGAACGACGGTTATCCAGTAAATAAAGATGAGTAGTTTCCCCGTCATCGCGCTCTCACGCACACAATCGCGAGACCGTGTGTGTGTGCGTGCGTGCGTGCGCGCCAGCGAGAGACGGTTTTAAATTCCGCGAGTCAAAGCGATGTTTGACATGGAAATGTTGAGCGATGCATTAAACATACCGCGCCTCCCCCGTTCTCGTCTCCATCGCGATCGCCAATCCCCCTTTTTCCCCTCGGAGAGACGAGAACCGCTCTCCTCGGCGCCTCGGAGGCCCGATCGCACTGCCCGACGGACCCGAGGCCCCGACGCGATTTTTCTCGCGTTGCTCGACCGATGTTTATTTAGGTAAACGAAAGGAACCACCAGTTCCCTCGCTATCGTGGATTCTCACGAAGCAACTTTCGGCCCGAATCGATCGCACGTTCACCTCACCGTCACAATGTGAGGAGAACGATCCATCGGCAAGTATCCCTATTTACTTTAAGAACGAGAAGAGTGCGTTAACTTTCGACCACGTACCATTCTTCTTATCTCTCACAATATTCGTGCAGATATTCGATCATACTGCGACGTGCTCGTAGATTTTTACGGGCTGGCGCTACATTTTGCATTTTAATGAGCTGTTGAGAAATAATAATTCGATTGTTTCCTCGAAATCATAGTTTTCTGCAATAATACCTTCGAATAAAACATTGATCAAAGATATTAACGATCCATGTGCGAAAAGGACGACGGTCGCTCGGTGTTTCCCTGCGAATTATCACGTGAAGGTACGAGGCATTATTTGAGCAGAATTTAGATGATATATTGTGCAGTAGCTATACACATAATTTCACGGTGACGAAAATAGTCCCGGACTTCTGCGTTAACGTGACATGCAAAGCTACAAATCGCCGGTATCATTATCGTCGGCGAATTGCACGGTGCCGGGCAAGACTACCGTCGCGAATCCCCGAGTCGTGATTGGCGGAGCAGTTGTCGAGGGTCGGAAGTATGCACCTGCGAGGCGCAATTTTACTGGGTCTACCCATAAAAGGAACTCCCTCCATTGTCCGGCAAATGACATCAAGCTTATTGCATTATTTAAAGAGCCTCACTTTAAGGCCGCTTTAAGCCACTGACCCTCGATTGTCGGAGTACCGCCGCCGAGGGCACAAACTGGGTTTCTCACGGACGAATCGCGCGAGCGCGCGTGTCCCACGAATTCGACGTTCCTTCGAGACGCGAGTAGACAACGTCACTTTGTAATGATGAAGATAAAAGAAGCCAAAATGCTGCAGGACTTTCTTGTTAAACGTTTTTACCTTTCGTACGTCATTTCTCGGATCTTAAAATGGTTGTCATAAAAAAATTCGTCAACTTCCACATCACAACGGTAAAATATGCAATAGTGTTTACTAAATGTATTGCTACCAGACAATACATCTTGCCAGCGTGAAACGTGATATTCGAGTCGAAATATTGGTTCTACATTAATCTTGCAAGTACCGTCGCCTTTCTCTAAGTAACGTTGTCGATTCGCATCTCTAAGGAACATCGAATTCGCAGGACATATGCTCACAACTCGCTCGTGAGAAACCCAATAATCTTCTTTAAATTTTTAAATATTTGCAATATTCTATCTACAATTAAGTAAGCTATATAATTAATACATAATTAACATATTGTTTACATAATTAATGTATTATTAACATATTGTTTGCTAAAATTAAAAATCAAAAAGATTGAACGGACTGATAATCAAATGTTAAATAATTCTTAAATAAATATTTCTTTATGCTTCTCCCAAACAAAACGACGGTAAGTAAACGTTTTCAACATAAAAATGGTAATCTGTATAGTATTATATTTAGAAATTATCCATTAGTCCGACGAAACGTACGGGATTAACGTAGAATTAAAATTCCGACTCAGGTATATGCAGATGCAGAATTGCTCGGTGATTTGTCTCGCAGGAATGCTACTCACCGGGCGAGATGCCAAGCTTCGCATGCATGCTACTGGGGCTTCTGTGATCGGGGGTGGTAACAGGGGCTGCTATGGGTGGCGACAGGTGGGGATGTGCCAGTGGCCCACCACCTGTCGTCGTCGTGGTAGTCGTTGTGGCACAGGGATTTAAGGGTGATGTCCTCTTGAAAGACTGGTCGGTCCGCCACGCGACCTCACTGTCGCCTATCCAGACTTTACCTGCGCAAAACAGGTCGAGAATTAGGTACATGGGACGAATGTGGCTGCAACATTACTGGTCATATAATAATCTTGAGTTCAACGTTATTGTCTTTCAGTATAAATAATCCACGACACACTATACATGTATAAATCAAAACAAAATTATATTATACAATGACAAAGACGCTATAAAATCGACTTTGTGAAATAAACAGGCCTCACATCTCCTTCGTCATTTTAATTGTTCCGAAAACTTTTCTTATAAGAAAGAGACGGAGAGAGTAAAAAGTACTCCTAACATTTTTGTGGGGAATAAATTTGAGCGAACGTCGCTATAAATACCGCCTTTCATAAATGCGGAAGAAAAGGATGCGCGATTTCCCTCGAGCAGATATTACGGTAATATCAGTGAAGGAAGATCAAGTTGCAAAAGAGGCTCTCGAGATAAATTCTATGCCTCGCGCACGTGTATTAATATAACGCACACCGGTGGGACTATGCGTGTGCAGAAAATGGCTTCTCTCCCCCGAACGCGGACCCGCCGTAATTAGCGACCCTCTGAATCCCCTATCCCTGCCAGTTTTCCCAGTTTTCCCCCGTTTCCCTTAATTTCTGGGAACAATGCCCGGCTCTGGATGTTGTTCCAGGCTGCAGTGTCTAATTACACTGGGGCATACCGAGCTCTTCCTCTCCTTCTCGAATTTGTAAGGGTGATGTACAGGGTGCACCGAAATTCACAAATGCGCCGTGAAACAGTGCTATCGAAAGGCGAAACTTCACAGAACTGCGCATTACGATGAAACTTTTGTTAAGAGTATTAACGAAGATACTACACTGAGAGAAAAAAAGTGCTACATTCAAGTAATATTTATTTAATTCGAGTATTGTAAAATGGTTATTTCAATACTCCTTGGTAAATATTTGCAAGAAATATAATTGACTACAATATGACATCTCTTTCGTACAATTGAATATTTACTTGTATGAATAATATCTCATATATGTAATATTAAGAATATTGGAATTTTAATTTTAGAAAATATTTACTAGACAAAAAAAGCGAAATTTAAAATACCGAGTTTCTTCAATGGAATAGAAATATTATATATAATTCTAGTAAATAATCTCTTAAATTTTTTTAAAACAATTTGCTTACATTCAATAATTCATTTACAAATTAAGGTATTACTGCGTTAAAATAAATATTTACTACAAGTCATCAAAATATATTTCTCGAGTATCCATGTCGTGTCTTTACGAGCACCCCGTAGGTGGCTACGCGTTTCGTATTTATGAAACACGCGAATACCGTATCGCCCCCGCATGCGTGAAACATGACTCAGACTTGGTATTATTTGCCTGACGAATGATTTAGCCCGAGATACTTAGCTCGCTCTTCCCCACTAGTCCCCCGCCAACCCTCAGCTTTCGTCGTCATCTCGCACCCTCTAGTAGGATGCTAACTTCTATTCGTTCTTTTATCTGACTCCTAACTACGACCGAAGGAGCGCGTTGCTCCAGAGACAGAAATATAGTAACTAGAAGACGAAAAGAGAAAAGAGAGAGAGAGGAGTGAGGCGGAGGATGAAGGAGGATTCAGCGGGATGCAGGAGGGCGGCGAAGACAGACCAAGGGTGGTAACTGGAGGCCGTGGTTCCGCGAGAGAAAGAGAGAACGTTTTTCCTATCGAGAGGAAAAGGAGAGGCGGGAAAAGCGGTGGGGCTGAAGAAAGTGTAGCCGGCGCTAACTAAGGGCGTCGGCTAATCAATATCATCAGAGAATGGCCGCTGACCTCCATCCACCCCGCTAGATCGACCATTGTCCGGTATTCCGCGCTTCGAATGGGCTTCCACCGCGAATACGAACGATTCGATTTTCCTCTTGTCCCTTTCCCGTCGCGAATTTAACGGTGTCTAATCCCAAATTACCGCGTGTAGATTTCAACGACGCTACAATATAACGTTGTTATTTATTGCAATCGTTTTTCTTTATATTCACAAAAAATATTAAAATGTACGATAAATTATTATTGTTAATCTTAGAAATTGTGCGTTTAATACTCGATTTCGACGGGATATCGTATTTTAATTAATTTATCAGCCTTTCATGCTGAAAGCTTCCGACGGATATTGAAAATCACTTCGATGCCGCTTCCGCAAGGATAACTCGCTCGAGGCTACAATTCAAACGCGAACCACGGTATGGAGCCTTTCTTTAATCTCGTGGTGTTTGCATGGTCCCCTTGTTTCTTTCAACTGCAGGGAGACAAACGAAGCTATCCCTAAGCAACGACAAGCTTGATGTAAAGTCGCGATTGCGGAGAACTCAATTACCCGAGCCTTTGGAAAAGCCGTATTGTATGTATATCTCTTGATATTATTTGATGTAAGGAAATTATTATTAATTCAAAATGTTGTTAGATTACTTTCTTAACTGGAATTTTTCATCACCGTAAAGTCGATCTTTTCTCAAATTACAAAGTGAAAGATTTTGTGTTAAAAACGGTTCACTGACAAACATATGTATAGCATTCCCCATGTTAAAATAGCACAACAAGATTTCAGTGAACCGTTTTCAACATAAGCTTTGTTACTGTATATAAGAGAAGAGAAGAGATAAATATGTTCCGAGAGATAGCTACTTTGCAAGTTAGAGAGATATAGAAAATAAATGCAACAAATATCACCCATACGCGAACTCCACGGCGACTCGTTCATCGGCCCCGTCGGTTCATCGACGCGTCGTTCCTTTCTCTCTCTCTCTCTTATCCAACGAGGGTCACCGCCACGTCCGAGCGAAAGCCAGTCGCATAAACAGAACTATCCATTCCGCGATTCGCCTCCCCTCTTCCCTTTCTCGCCGCCGAGATGCTTTTTCCTTCGTCCTTTGCATTTTCCCTCGGCCCATTCGTCCAACCCGGCGTGAACTCCATTCACGGGTTTATCACTGTCCAGATAACAACGATTTACCTACACGCGAACTCCTGCGGGTAGGGTTCCGGGAGCAGGAGGGTGCGTCTGGCGGGGTTGCCAGCAAGGAGGGACGAGGTGAGCCCCGTGGCAAGGCTGTTGAAGGAGGCGAGACGGGCGGCCACCTTGCATTCGGGAGTATTTCACTTTAACGGCCCTCCGGGGGATTGGCTGACCCCGACCGAAGACCCTTCACCGTTTCAGCATAATGGACCTCTACATTACTTATTCGTCCTGGCCAATGTCCTGCTAGAGGCGCCCACAACTACGACGAGGTCAGCGAGGACGAAGCGGCTCGTTTCCACGTTTCGCCATTTATCGAGTGCGATTAATCGTACACCTCGCGGCAACGAAGATATAGAGCTCGGACTGAATGCTATTATTATTTCAATTTGATCGAATTACAGGAATTACCATCTTGACAATTGAGGCCATTAGTAAGTATAGCGAAGCGTCAGGCCTGAGTAACTTCATTGATAAAACAGAAGCCCGGCAACCGACTACGTCCAGTTTATCTCTCTCTCTCGATATATTTTCTACTTTCTCTTACAAATTAAATGAGCGATGTACTTAAATTGATAACACGTTCTGAAATTAAGAACACAGATAATATAAGCGTAAATATAACAGCGTCATTGGACATTTTCCTGAAAAAATGTCGCGCTCTGATGTCACCAATTTTTCTAACCGATCACGTATTTTGCCTTCTTCTCTGGCAACGAAGACGACGAGGCCATCTCCGCTGATTCCAGCTTCCGGGTACCGACAGCACGGAAGAGCAACATGCCCCAAGCAAACCGCTTTCCCCGCGGCACTCGAAAGAATTGAAAATTCCTGCTCGTCCAAGGGTTGAGGAGGTCGACGATGGAGGGTGGTGGGCGGAGGGGGGAAGACGGACGAAGGAAGGGGGACGAGGAAGCGAACGCGGATAAAGCGCTCGATATAAGATTAATGCTAGAGGCCGCCGACCGGTCCCGCCGCACGTCGAGGCCCGTTCGGCCATATACGACGGCAATGGTGATTCCTCTTTGAAGATAGAACCGTGAGCAGTGGCCAAATTGAATCCTGCTTAGGACAGAAGAAGCGTCGAGAGAGGGAGAGAGAGAGAGAGAGAGCCGGCCCGGAGCCCTTTCTCCAATAAATAAATCGCCGGCCGTTCGTGGCTCTCCGATTTTCAGCTCGAGCGTACGGATTAAAATCGACCGGCCGATTTGTAGCGACGAAACGCCGGAGGTAATTGCACGATTATCTTGTTCCCGTATCCTCGCCCGATTTCGTCGTTTCTCTGCTGAAATAGGAAGGATTGCATAGCAGAAACATAATTATCCATATGATGCCTCTTTCTCAGACATGTTTCTTGTTATTATATAAGTGGAATTATTATATATTTACGATGAAATAATATATACATCTTCATTTATTATCATCTTAAATTATTTTTGAACTTTCGATGTACACCTGATGTACATCTTTTTATAATGATATGACGATAATAGAAAAGCTATTTATTTTAAACCTAATAAGAAATTCTTATCTGTGCAAATACTTCGACTATTGCTTTATCACCTCAGATTACAATGTCAATAAGCGGGAGGAGAATTGTGAGAATTGTAGAAACTGCATACCGCGATTTTAGATTAAATACTAAAGACTTTAGTCTTCAGACTTTAAACTTTTCCAACGGAAGAACTTAATGACGTTACACGTACGCGCTTGTATATACACAAATGTAGTTTCTATAAATCGTAACATTGTCAATAATTATTAAAAGTGATAATATGATACAGTGTGTAATAATAGCACTCAATATTTTTCAGTAGGCGATTACTTCTTTTCGTGGGATTACTCTTTTAATTCTTCGCCTTTTTCTTAAGCTTGGTGGAAATTCAACAACGACGCTCGCGAGGGAGAAAGACAAAGGATCAGCGTTCGTCGAGAGTTTCCCTATTTCTTGCTGCCCTTGTCGGAACGACGATCGATAAAGCCACCCCTGTCCCCGCATTCTGGGATATCTTAACACTCGCATAAGCTTTTAACTTAGGGTCCCAA